CAGACCCGCAGGCCCGGCGCTGCGGGAGCCGGGCATGCAGCTCCTGATGGCAGCTGTAAGGGACACCGCGCGCCCCTTACAGCTGCCATCAGGCACTCCCCATAGGTTGGCACCCTGGACAGCTGCCCGGCTCGCCCATGCCTCCGTCCGGCCCTGACCTAGGTCACCAGGTGCTCACACGCTTGTGCACAGAGACGTGCGCTCACACACTCGCTCGTGCTCAGAGACGTATGCATGCACACATGATTGTGAACAGAGACGTGCACACACACGCACACACACAGGTGCACCCAGGTTCACTTCTGCTTTTTTACACCTACCGTTCTCTTTCAGACGTGTCGATTTTGGAAAAGCCGCAGGGGCGTATTTTGTTTCTTGCCAGGCCCTCACACTAGCGCCTTCGCAAACACCTTGACTGCTGTGCCCTGGAATACATTATCCACTCTCCTTTGCCCACGGTAACATCCACCCAAGTACACCCCACAGTCCTGACTTCACAGCTTTCCAGCACAAATTCACGTTTGCACAGCTACAGTGACAGCCAGCAGCCTCCTGCTCGTCTGTAGGACCACGGCCGAGAGCCCATCTCTTAGAGACACCCCCAGCTCTCAGAACTGCCCCACGCAGGAGGCTAAACGAGCCAAGCCGGCGCTGTCAATCTGGCAGTGTTAAAAACCCTCTCTCTCCAAGAAAGGCTCCCGATTCTCCTCTGTCGGGCCCACACCATGCTGTGGCCTGGCCCATCAGCCTGGCTGGGAGACTGTAATTATCCCACCCGGGCGATTGCAGCGCACGGCCCTTGAATCAATCATTCTCCTACGTCTTCTTCCAGGCCCAGAGACACGGAGCGCCCCAACCCGGCGTCGGGGTTCAGTTTTGGAGAGGCGCTAGCAGTGACAGCGGCACCCGTTACACGTCTGCTGGCATCTACAGTGCTAAGCCTTTTCCAGAGACGCTCGCAACGGGCTCCGTTCTGACAGTACTGGGCAAGCACTCGACGCAGCCCATGTTTTATGGGCACACTTGGCCACACTGGCCCCAGCGTCTCCCGCCCACGGAAGCGCCAGTGCGTGCACATCAGCCCTGCCCTGGTTTCTGGGAGCGGAACAGCTGTCCTGGATTGGCAGGGAAGCTGCGACATCACCCAGGCAGGGAAAACCCTGGAGGGGAGCCTTTGAGCCAGATGCGGGGCTGTTTTGCGCCTCAGCTGAGCCCAGGGCGTGCCCCACAGAGGCCCTGGGTCAGATGTGAAGGAAGGATGTTCCGCCCGGGGGGAGGAGGGCAGGGAGAGGAACCGGTCCGTAGCCCGCAGGTGCCCGTGGTTCAGGAGGGGAGGCAGTGGGTCTGGAAGACGTGGCCACGGCGGGAAGGAACGTAACGGGGGAACGTTCCCACGGAAACTCCAAACCATCGGCTCCACGTTTCTCCAAGCACTGGAAGGTGGGCCCCAGACACGTCCTGCTCCCGCCCAGCCCTCCACGCAAAGCCGGGCCCTGCCCGAGCGGGGAGACGCCGATTTCCAAACACACGCGGGCGCGGGTGGAGCAAAGGGGGCTGGGAAAGGGGGAAGGCCACGTCCGCGCCACAGGAAACAGGCACTGCGCTGGCGAGCCAAGAGGAGGGCTTGAGTGCCTAGAACAGGCCGTGCGCCCATGCCACGTTATTCTGAGACACCCCTCCCGGTCTGGCCCAGCTCATCTCCTCTCTCACTTCCCCAGGCAGAGGGCCTCAGTGGCTCACCCGTTACGGCCCCTGGCTCTGGTCCGACGGCCAGTTTGCAGCTGGACCAGGCAGCAGGAGGGATGGGTTACCCAAACGCCGGCTCCCAGGAGTGGGGCTGGCAGCTGGGAACGCACCGGCTGGCAGCCCGCTCCTGGGCAGCCACCCGTAAAACCACGTGACCGCTCCCATCTCACGGCCACACGGTTACAGCGAGAACCGGTTTTCAGCATCCCGCGTCCCAGCGGCGTGGAGCTGACACGGCCGGCTCTCTGCCAGGCGCCCTCAGCTCGGCCCACCGTGTCTGCCAGGAGCGGGGAACTGAAAGGTGGAGTCACATTCACCTCTGCCCCGGCATCCCGGCCCTGAGCGCGGCAGAGAGTGGCTGGACTGAAGAAGTAAATACACACACGTGCACATGCGCACACGCACACACACGTGCACATGCACACACACACACACGTGCATAGGCGCGTGCAAGGGGATTCATGTCTTTTCATTGCTGCGGGAGACAGGCACGTTCGTTTCCCCGATTCTCAGGAGGGCACCAGGCGCACATTCCCCGGGGACCCCCCACACTCCAGCGCGGCTCCCTGAACCCCCCACCCTGCCCCGGGGCTCTGAGAAACGCAGACGCTTCCCATTCGCTCTCCCGTGGCCAGCTGCCGGCGCCTTCTCCTGCCCTGCCGGTGCCACCCTCCGCCCTGGCCAGGGACCCTGCAGCCCGCACCATTTCACCCTTCTCCAGCAGCCTGGCCAAGCAGCCGAAGGGCATCCTTTCAGGCCTGCCAGCGCTGGCTTTATCACACGGACACCACCAACTGGCACAGCAGCGGCGAATCCCAGGCCGACCCAAGCCCAAGCAGACCCATGTGGCTAATGCCCTGAAAAGTGCCCTGTACAAATGGCCGGGGTCGGGGGGGCTGAAGGTGTTGGGTTTTGCAAGGGAAAGA